TCCATAACTATACAGAGATAATATTTAATATCTTGTGACTTCTTGCACTGGGAGTTTTCTGGTATGGTTTGTGCCTATCTCTCCTAAAAGTATTAAACAAAAGCCTCTAATTATTTTTTATTGTAGCCATCCAGCAAGGTGCCTGCAGCTTAATCAAGATATTGATCCTGCTTTTATAGATATTCGCAGTGTATATAATCAGCTAAAAGTATAGTGACTGTCTCACCACGGGGATTTGGGTTTGGATTTATTCTACTGCTTCTTTGATATGACCAGAGGTCTATAATAGCAGATATATAGCTCTGTACAGCATTCTTCCCCAGAGTACGGATAATTGGCTTGCTGCCTTCTATTATACGGGGCTTCTTGTACCGGCAGGATCGAATTTCACGGTTGAGTATTTCCTCTTTGAGGAACTAAACCAGTTTATATTTTATGACTAGTTTACTATCTAGAAACCTAATGTGTTTAGTCTAGCCAATCCATTCTTTCTGCTTTAGATTATATGACTTGGAGGTATTCTCAGGGCGATTAGTTCATAATAGATTCAATGTCTTTTCACCATATGAGGCTAACTGCTTTACAATAGCTGCATGACGGCCCACTATACTGGCCATTTCTGATGACGCAGTGCCAGCACATGGGAGGGAAGAAGAAGGAGGATGTGGCCGTTTCCGAGCCATACTGAATTGGTTATTATAGTCTAAGGAGCTAGCTTACAGGGTGATGAACTATTGCAGAGAAATCGCTGAAAGAATATGATCATAGATGATAATAGGTAATAACACGCATCCTATCCTGAACACGTAGATGGTAGAAAGAAGGAGAAATGGGAAATCAATAACTGCAAGGCCGGAATAAAGCGCGGGCCGGGCGGGCCCCGCCCTCCAGGGTATTTCAGCATATTTGGGAGGAGGGCGATTATGCTATAGTAACCCATGTAATCACCCACCGCGCCGGGCCCCCCATATATGTCCTATATACCTTCCATATGAAGATCATCACCCTCGTTACGACTTACGCTCTTTCTGCATCTTAAGGGATTATAGGCCACATCGATGAGGTTAAAAAGTTATAAATTCAAACCTTTGTGAGTTATCTTAAAACAACTATATCAAGATTAATGAATTAAATCAGCGATTTGCGCCTTCTCAGTGTCCTCCCGATTTCATATTCCTGGGTTTGGTTAAGTTAGGTTGGGTTAGGTTTTGAGTACCCGCAGGTTTTACACGACTGAGGAATTAATAGATCCAAACGCACGACGCGGCTCGAACAAAATCCACATCCAGACACTCAAGATAAAAAAAATCTTTTTCAGAACCAATAGCCCATCCCTCCAGCATGGCATCTTCCTCATCATCACAATCAATACATCAGGCTTTCAGTCCTCTGCTCTCCATTGAGCCGTCCTCTGACGCTTTCTTAGACTCAGACATTCAATCTTCTGTAAGAGAATGAGCCCATCCTATTTATGTCTGAATATTGTAAATATACCTACATGAATACTAAGATAGACTGCTGCCTTTCAGTAGACCCCGAAAGAGCTATGATATAACCACTCGAAGACCCCCAGCGACACTCAGACGTGTGGGACCCCAGCAAAGAAAAAAATGGATTTCGTATCTAGAGAGAAACTTCCTTGAGTGGTGGAAGAAAACAGAGTACGGCCAAAAGCTGAATGGGGACGGCCAATCTCAGATTAAATGGTCCACCGAGTCGCGTCACGCTGATGTGTGGAAACACTTTGACCAGGTGGCTCAAATTGATTCTGGACGTCCTCGAGTCATCTATCAGGCCTGTCTCACTGTACTTGATCATCCACAGTATAAAGAGAATGGGACAAGCGCCATGAGTAGACATAAAAAGTCTGATACTTGTCGCAAAGGAAAGAAAAAGGGATCTCATCAGTCACTGATTTCGGATTCGTTGCAGAACCAGTTCACGAGGGAGTCACCCAGTGTCCACAGGGTAACAGCAATCCAACTTGAGAAACAGCTCTTGAAGACAATTACCTGTCTTCGTTTGCCTTTTCAGACGGTGGAGAACCCGGTGTTTCAGGAGCTGCTTAGCCTCCTATATTCTGGCCCTGGGGAATTGGAACTCCCGTCAGCGAAGACCCTGCGGACACGGCTCCGGGATGCAGTTACCTGTCAGCAGGACGCACAGTTGCAAGATCTGCCTGACGATGCCAAGGTTTCACTCGTTCCCTCCAGAGTAAGATTACCAAATACGGCATAGCTGATGGAGATATCCATAACTTTGATGAAACTGAATTTGCTATGAGTCTCTGTCAAAGTGCTAAAGTGTTTACGCGATCTACCTGTGAGGGGAAGCCATTCATGATTTAGCCTGGAAACTGCGAATGGGTCACCTCAATCGAGTGTATCAACGCTGCAGGATGGGCCCTGGATCCGTACCTGATTTCCAAGGGGAGGGTATTCCAAGAGGCATGGTATCAAGAAATGAACATTCCTTGTATGTGGCGGATCGCTATATCACCAAATGAATAGACAGCAATTGAGCTAGGCCTTCAATGGCTTCAAAAACACTTTATCCCGGCATCAACAGCTCGCTTAAAGGGTTTATATCGACTGCTGATTCTTGATGGTCATGACTCCCATTTAACGCCTCAATTGAATGACATCTGCGAAGCAAATAGGATTATACCTATCTGCATGCCTCCTCATTTGTCCCATCTCTGCCAGCCACTTGACGTTGCTTGCTTTGCTCCATTAAAGAAAGCATACAGTACATTGATTGAGAGGCGGATTAGACTTCAGCTTAGTCCGATAAGCAAGCTTGACTTCCTTGAGATCTATCCCATCGCTCGTCGCGATGCTTTTAGCGCTTCGAATATAAAGAGTGCTTTTAATGCTACAGGGGTAGTTCCGTTTGCACCAGAACGAGTTATCAATGGTATACAAATTTGTATACGTACACCTACTCCTGATGGTGATGTGATTCCTTCATCTGTGACAAAAACACCAATTAATACTCGGCAGCTAAGCAAGCAAGAATCTTTGGTGAAAAGAGTACTCCGAGAACGTACAAAGACTTCTTTTACACTTCTACGAGATGCAATTGGTTATATTATCAAAGGATGTGAGATGGCAATCAACCGTGCGGCGTTCCTTGAACATGAAGTCAGTGAGTTACGAGCTGCCAATTCAAAGCAACAAGCAAGGAAGAAACGAAGGAATTGCCACCTTTCAGGACTAATTGGATTGAATATCGAGAAAGCTTTTGAGGCGTTTCAACAATTAGATGAGATTATTCCCAAGGATCCTACTCCTCGCAAGCGAGCACCCCCGCGGTGTAGCAATTGTGGAGTTGTAGGTCATATGCGTACATTTTGTCCCAGAAGAGTAGCTAGTTATCCTGCTAATGAATATATTTAATCATTTCTTTTGTAAAAAAATGCATTACGAAATGGCTTGGGAATGGCTTCATTGAGGTAAAAGTTGGTCTGGCAGGCGGCACGGGCGGCGGAACCGTTCGCCTGCTGTTTACGTTAACCGAATGTAAGGATCGGATACATATAGGAGAATCATTGATTTGTTGAACAGAGCCTGACGAAAAATTAATATGAATAAAGAAAGAAACCATTCGGATGGGCGTTTTCAACAATGCCACCTGCAGTCGAGACGGGTGACAGAAACGGCATGCACCCTCACACGCCGTTCATATATCCCGACTCGTGTATGTCACCGGGATTTTGGGGGCTGTTCTAATGATTTGCACTCTCAACATACAGCAAACAAACATTCTCACTAATACTTACTTCACTATTCTGACTGTACACGCGGTCGGTCCCTCGAGGAACTGCCACGATTAATACCTAGGCAGATGGCGCTGTCTACTGTCTGCAAACTCACATATAACGCGAATAAATGATTTATTAACGAATCATAACTTATGGGGCACATAGGTAAATTAATAAATACGTACATAGAAGAATGGGATTCTTGACCCTTACGACAAAATGGCATGGAGCTACACCAATTATATGATCCTACAAATCCATGTAAATTTTCAAATAGAACAGTTTTCGCCTGGAAATTGAGATATCAAGACTACGATGCGATCATAAGACAGCATTCACATCCTATGATCACTGCCTCGACCATTGATAAGCTCTGCCTGCCGCTGAGCCCGCTGTCAGGGATAATATACGACCACCACTACTATAGCAAACCGGACGAGCTAGCGGCCAATTTGAACGAATGGGATGACCCTCCGCGATCCTAACCAGTCGTCATGTGAAATGGGGAATGCCAAAATATCACCGGAGTATTCTAGCTCTCCGTGCACCGCAGCTGCAGCAAGGCAGTGCACATGATTGCAATGGAACGCAGCAGCGACGTGGTCAAGCTCTCAGCCTACACACCACTGTTGCAACATTTCGGTTTCGCCCATTGGTAAGTGAGTCACACTAGAATGAATATCTACGTTCCAACGCTGCTGACTTTGTCTAGCCAACATTGTACAGGTTTGATCCTAGCCCCGGGTCCGTCGACATCGTCATACGTGCAGAAGATGTTCTCCACCAATCGAGGAACAGCTATCTTCTCCGTTAACACCACAGCCAATTTCGCATCTTTGTACTGGGGTGGCGTCTATAATGACACGTTCTACGTGTAACTGGTGAGTAGACGGTGTAAGACTGCCCGCAACTCGCTCAAAGAGATTGGGAATGCTGTCGGACCCCTCGTGACACCAACAATCTGCCACATAACATTAGCGTTCAGCATACGCTGTACAAACTACACGGTGAATTCAGCAGCCTGGACTTGGCCATAGTGGCTGCCTCATAATGAGTCGTTGAATGCTCTTTCTGGATGCGCGCGCTTAACCAATATATATGAGATCGGCGATCGGGTAGTTTGAGCACAGCCGCCATCATAAGTTGCATCTACATCGCGGGGAAAGTCCAAGTGCCTTGGACGAATTTACAGATTTTGAGTGTGACAGAGTGGGTCAAAAAAACGACACCATCGATCCGACCTTCCAGCCATTTCAGGAGTCATTTAATCCATTATTATGGTCTCCCCCACATCCCTGTCAGGGAGTATTGCTTACAGGTGTACGTTTTCGGTTGTATAGTGTTTCATTCGCTTTTGTTTTCTTTTTCTCTAATCCCCTCAACCCTTCCTATTTCCCTTTTCACTCCAGCAAGGTTCAGACTGCGTCGGGCATCGGTCGTGACACAGCTCTAGCTCTATCATTAGCCGGCATCGAGTGTCTCGGGCTGATTTGAATCCTGCCGATGAAGAGAGTCGCTCGTTCTCGCCCCATGGTAACCGACGCGCAGTATCTCTGCAGACCGATGTGGCGGATGAATCCAATGTCAATCACCTGGAGTAGTCGGAAATCAAAGCACTCGGCCGCATTGACACTGAGTTCACCCTGCGTTCACCCTGCAGGCGTAAGTCCCGCCCCCTCTGATCTGTATATTGCCAGTCCTGTGTAGTACTTACCGCTTAGGCTATGCGACATCTACAATGACCAAACATGTAAAACCGGAAATCTTCGAAAAGAAGATTGCCATAAGTGCACGAGGCACGATGCCCGTGCTGCACGTCTCCTCGGCGCTCATTGCAAAGCAGGATCCGCGCAAGCACAAGAAACGCCGGACCAATGGGACAAGAAGTGTGAGGCGCCGATGCATCGTGGTGTTCAGCTCTGTTAGTGGACTGAAAGTGGCCCCAGGTATGTTACCCTGCAGCTCATTTGGATGGGCTGGAGTTGTAATGGCCAAAAAATCTGTGATCTTCTCTTTCCCTTATATTCTTAAACATCTCGGTCGTAATGAATGAATGCTAGATAATATAATCTTGCTTCATTGGGAAAATCTCATAGTACGTCCGTGCCAATACTGTATGCCTGGCGTGGGCTCAGACGCCTATGATGGAACGCAACTTGAATTGTGGGCCGCAGCTGGGTGCTATAGTTCAGGCTCTGAGTGGGTTCGGACGGTGATCTGCTGGTTTGCATACAGCACATGTGGAACAGTAATCAGCATCTGACTTTTATTGTCGAGGCTATTGAGTCTCTAAAAATCCTGGGATGGGAAGCTAACACAACAATGTAACATATTCCCCAGCATGTTTTAGCTCTGTGGCACTAGCGCTCCCGGTAGGGGACCACGGTGTACGTACATCTAGGAACAACTGTACCGTAGCAAATACTGGAACATCATCTCCCCATTATCCTGGACATCTTGGTACGCTATCTTAGGATGGATGATTCGTGCTACCGATACCCTGGCTTTTGGGAGCCCATGGTACGGTGATGAAGCAACACTTGATACCCGCACATGACGAGAAAAATGTGTAGGACTCCGTCAATAAGTGCGGTTTCATTCTGGTCACCCCGTGTAGGATCGGGCAGCTCTGGCGCTATCAGCAATTTTGATTTCAAGTCTCACCCAAGACCCTTACCTTTCGCGACTCTAGGAGGTCTAATAAAGTCGTGATGTTCATTCGTCTGATCCAACAAAGGGTAGCTGTAGCTTTGTAAAGAGTTGAAATCACGTTCAGTCCGATTGCCAAGCCATGCCCGTAAAGTACCTAAAGTGGGGCGTGGGATCGAAGGAAACAGCATGGGTTTTCCTGTCGCTGCCCTGATTTCATTACCACCGGGCTGCGACGGGTAACGTAGAGAGACCCTTAGATTGTGAATAAGCCTGGTAAGTTTGTAAAGACCTGCTTTCATCTTATCGGACGCTTTGTTGTCACTAACAAGCGTAGATTGATAGGCAGTGAGGGAACCCATGGTGACTCTGATATAAGCTTTTATATGAAGCCAGAAGTCTTTCCATGGATAGTCAAGTGTGCTTTGGTAAAAGGTTCCTGAGTCTTGAACAATGGCGCATACAAATATAAAGATTGAAAGGCAAAGAAAGAGGCCCACACCTAACTTGGTTATTATCTTTATTTGAATCTTCTAGAGCAGATAGACTGGAATACTTATAACTAAACGGGCTATTGTTAGTAGTGGTCCGAAAAATAAACAGCGCGGAATGATGTATCCATGAGATCAGTGAGTGTATTTAAATATGGGTAGATCTAGAAGGTTACCAGCAGTAATGTCTTCGGAGCTGGCAGATCCGGGAAACATTTTGCTGTTATTTAATTCAGCACTATTAAAACTTACAGAGAGATCTTAGTATTAATGCTTACCTGAAGTCTTTCCCATGTATAGATAAGTAATGAGATGCTCTCTGATTTTAATGAAAATCCATGATATGACTGATAAGATGACTGTAAGCTAATAGTGGTGTAGAAAGAAATGAGACATTCCATTAGTCAGTGGCCGGATGAAGGTAAGGTAAGTCTATTTGACAGTAAAAACAGAAGTTCACAGAACAGTGAGATAAGCTAGATGCTATTTTGACTGGGCATAAAGCTCATCCATATTAGCTATGGCAATGGTATATGCCCTTGGGTCTTTTCGCAATATGGTGAAAACAAGATATTCAAAGTGGCTGTGTATACTGTAGATAACTGTTACAGCACATAGATAAATAAATGCTAGTATTAGGAAGGCATCATCTAGAAACAAGCGTTTTCGTGTAAGAAGACGGATGAATATACGCCCAAGGAGCATAAGTGTTGTAAACCCGAAGAGTAAGATAACTATTATTTGTAGAATATTAGATATCTTGGTTAGGATTGGTAATATGCAGCAACAGGAAACACTGACTATGAACTGATTTACTGCAATTCAGCCTGTATTGGAGAAATCAGAGATTGTCAAGTTTCTATGAGAGACCGACGGAATCACACCTGTCTTGTTATAGCTAGTAATCATGCTGGAAGTCCTTTACAGGAAAGAATATGTGATGAATAAGATAGCTTTTTGGTGCCAGAAATATTACCAGTTAAAGATGAATAATCAATAATAGGGCACTAGCGCAATCGTGGACTTTATATGCTATATCTTTAAATTAGGGACTACTGGTATAAGTGGGCTTACGGTCAGACTGTAAATCTACTAAAGATTTATTAAGTCTTCTGTTGTTTCTCAACCAGATAATAGATATGGGCTGAACGGGCAAGGGTGGCGCATTTTGTTATATAAGCACGCAGGGATGGTTGGGAGGGGTTGTCTGGATTAGATGAGGCAGATATTAAGAAAGGGCTATGAAACTAGCTGTAGTATTGATGGTCTTACTCTTCTTCTATAAGGAATTATTAGTATCCAAAGGCTATGAATATCAGCCTTATGAATAATTTATATACTGCCTGGCTTAGTAGGTTCAAGCTATATCCTACATTCCTGCTTAAATAGCTCTCTTTATCTCTCTTTATCGTGCTTTTCAATATTGCTTGTCTATCTTGGGAGTTAGCAAATATTTTGTATATATTAACAACTATGTGTGGCATGCTTCTCCTTGTAGTCTTTTTGTCTGCCATTTGTAATTATTTGCTAGCCTTGTGGCTTTGTAAATCTAGATAATAAAGAGGCGAGTGATCTTCAGAGGAAGCTCCAGAGGAAGGATATCTTTTTTACTTATTGAGGGGTGCTTTATCGTACCGCGGTTGGAATCCGTTGCTGTTTATCTGTTCTTTCAAGTAAAGGCCATTAGATACTAAGTGTGTGGAATCAAGCTAACTTCAGATCAAATGCAGATCTCTCTTCTGGAATTCTTGCCCTGTTTGCATTCAGATTCTTATACATGAGATTTACATTATCCAAGGGATTATAAACATTACGGCATTTTTTAAATAATGCTTTCTTTCGGGATTTCAGCTTTATTAATTACTTTTTTACAATGTATTCTCACTGCCGGAGCCAGCAGTAAAAACTTATCGGAAAGATGATTCTGGCGATCTTCTTAACCCTTATTAAGATAGTAAAGGGGTTGAACCGCGCAACCGAGTTGAATTCTTGACTATGTTCTCTTCATCTTGGTTTTTAAAAGGGGCTAGTATACCATCCATGACTGTTAAATTTAAGTATAATATCACGGTGCGGTTGGAATTTCTGGATATAATTTATAATTGGTGCTATTGGAGAGACTTTGCGACCAGCTTCTATACAGAGCTAACGACTGCTGCTATAGATTCATTTTATGGCCTGTTTCTGGTATTTAGTTGTCTAAGTTTCACAGAGAACCTCTGGACCCTTGATAGAAATATACAATCTTTACTTGTCTCTCTGCCCAGACCTTTTACACTAACTGTGTATACAGTATGCGATTATCTTCTTACCACAGTCAAGTACTGGCATGTATGGGCCCAGGATGCTTTCTACCTGGAATTTGTGAATCAAGATGGTGATAATCTGTACTGGGGGACCGCATTCTTTCGCGAATGGTAGGCTATATTTGAAGTAATTGATGGGTTTGACTTTGATGCGATGGCATCTGAAGATCTTGTCTTTCTTTAGGAGTAAGTTTACTGATCTAAACACGGAGTGTTTATCTCATTATTATTAATCTATATCTATTATCACATGTATTTTGCTAGTCGTCCCGCGTATTCTAGCACACCTTGGTCTTGACTAATTATGGCCTTCCAGTGTCAATCAAAACATGGTTATTGCTACGTACTGATGCTGTATGGAGATATATTAGGATGTTGAGCTTCTCCAGTAACTGCGGAAGGAGGCGGCCGCATGTGTTTCTGACCAAGCTTACAGTTCTCTTTCTTTTGCCTTAGATAAATTACTCAAATAACTAATCCTACAGGCCATGTATGCCGAGACACTCCGACTCAGAGTCCATGGATTTCTAGTCCAATATTCAGCTCAAGAAGATGTTCATCTTGGTAACTGCATCATTCCGAAAGGCCGTGCTATCTTGACAAGCACCAGCCCGGATTATCTCGATTCCAACATATAGTGCCGGGGTTCAGACTCGCACCCTGTGGATAAGTTCTATCTGGGCAGATTCTTGCGGGCATCTGCTGATACTAAATCTGTCTGGTTCTCAATCCCTACCGTACCAGGCGCGTGGATGCCTTACAGAATTGGTGCCTATGCCTGCACGGATTGTCATTTTGTAAAAAGCTGTATAATTCTTATGTTGGCCCTAGTGGTGATGCAATTTGACTGTGAGATATTGGCCACCGAGAACTGTCTGTAAATGAGTATTCAGAACTTTGGTTTTGGCACTCTGTTATCTGAGGGGCCGGTGCCTGTTAGAATTCGTTGCTGTATAAGACCTGTGGCTCAATAGTCATGTCTGCTTGGTCAAGGATTGTACTTAGTAGTCACCAATCCAATCTTATCTCTTGTACTACCAATGTCACTTCTTGTGTGGAGGCTCACCTTTCTTTACTACTTGGGGCACGAAGGAGAACAAGCTCTAACAACTCGGCTGAGGATTATCTTTAATTACTTCTTTCTTTAAAGAAAGTGGCACTTGCCACTTGAAACCGTACTATTTGAGAAAGAATTATTATTGGCTGGACCCGTTCTATGCTGAGTCTAACCAGCCCGAATCATTCTGCGTAACCCGAAAATATCTCTTATATGATACTTTTTGAAGACTTTACAGGATTTCGAGCGATTAAGCATGTATGGAATGTTAGCCTAAGCATTTGCCTGAGAAATGGCTGGGCCTGGAATAACGCCCTTCAACTCACAAGTCTCATGAAGTGAGAAAAATATCCGAGCCACGGTGATATTGCCCTGCTGTGAAACAAGCACCATTAACAGCCAAGATTTCCTCATTTCTGACTAGGGTAATTGGCAGTCGTGGTTCCCGCGAGGCAATTCGTTAGAGGTCCATTTTTAGGGCTTATGAGAGTGTAGCCATATGGTGGGGTATATTACATTGAAATCTGTGTTCGGCTACGTTACAATTGTCAGTCAGCACTATGCCATTGAATTGTTGCTCATTGACATTCTAAGACAAGGCTCGAGTTATCGGGGTCTTCTGATCCAACAAGCTAGCGTTAATTTCCGCAACTGCGGGATATCCCAAGCCTCCTGTGGCTATGCAACTGTCGAAACGCGACAAGGATACCCATCCGCAGGATGGGTACCGGCCTTTTCCGTTTGATAGGCTCTCTCCCCAGCCACTGTCCGCGACATTGGCCCCATCACACCCAGCCAACGCCCCAATCTACCAAGGGGTGTCGCCGAGGCAGTATGGGCCATGTCCCATTCGTCGTACGCCGGTTGAATTCGGAAGGAACGAGCGGTCATTATCAACGTCAGACGCATTTCATTGTACACGAGAGTCTGGCCAATGCAACTACGAGGACCTTGTTCGAACGGGCGATAGGCGGCGGGGTCAGGGTACAGTTCGTGGCCCGGTTCAACAAGCCATCGCTGGGGTAAAAATTCTGTCGGTCGCGGCCAGACGCGCGGGTTGAGGTGCATTGCCGTATGCAAAATAGTGGCACCAACATAGTCGGTGGGGTAGCGACCGCCGTCTCGGTCGGTGAGCGAGACTCCCCTACGCCCCTTGCGGTTTGTACCAGCAGGAGGAAATAGCCGTAACGTTTCCCTGATCACGGCCATAGTATAGGCACATCGGTTGAGAAGGGCCGGCTGCTCCCGTAGAGTCCGAGCGGCCTCGTTAGGGTCGGGCCCGAAAACTTCGTCGTGTTCTTGTCGCACACGTCTCATTGCCTCAGGGTGTTGGGAAAGAAGATGATACACGTAAACGATACTGCTCGATGTAGTATCGTTCCCAGCGAACAGAAATAGGCGGATCTGATACGTAGCATACCGCGAGAAGTGTTTGTCCAATGTGATAGACTCTGCCAGGCTTTTATCGAAGTGGGTCATGTATGCCTCTACCGCTAACATGATAACGGACTTAGCTCGTTTGGTTGTGGTATTTGGTGAGAGGTGGGCCTTCCGCATCTCCACAAACCGCATCTCTAGTTCCTGACCGATTAGCCTGTTGAGAACTCGACCGTAAAATCTCTGAATAATGGGCCTTAGCGGATTAGCGAGTACGCGTGGGTCCCAGAACGAATGCCATCGCGTGATATACCCTAGCGCGGTTGCAAGCATGTTATCGGAGCGTTGGTAATCGAGGTCCATATCACTATAACGGCGGTTAGGAAAATCTGTTAGGGTAGCAACGGTATCATCTTACAGGACGACTTTGAGAATCACATCCATAGTCAGTCGCGTTGTGAGATCATCTAGACAAAACACCCCCGAATTTGTCCGTTCCCGCAGCTGATCGCAGAATATTTGAACGGAATCGATTACTTCCGGTAGCAGATCCATCATATTCCCAGCGCTGAATCCCGGATTAAAGATAGATCTCCATATCTTCCATTCCTTATCGCTCATAGAGACCAGGTTTGGCCCTCCGGTGATAGGCTGCATAAACTGCTGCACGATGTCCGACTTAGGGAGATTGTAGGTGGTGCTAATCTGCTGCGCCGCCTCCGGACTGAACACCATCCACAATGGCGGATAAACAGGCCAAAAGTCCATGAGGAAGATTTCAGTGTCAGAGAACTCGAAGGCCAGTTCCTTGGTCGCCAGCGCGACGTTCGCATCGGGCGGGAGGCAATCGACGTATTTCTTGAGTACCAGCAGGTGACCGGTTATCCAATTCCACTCGGCGGGCATCGGCTAACGACAGATAAGCTGGACCATTTTCTTCTCTTGAAGAATCAGAACTCACCACCCCCCGCTTGCGTAGCCGGTTGATCTGGCAGCGATGACGATATGTCGCCTGCATCCCATAGAACAGCGTGCCCAACAGCGTAAAGCCGAGGGTTAAAAGAAGGTTGAAGAAGGCCATTCCATAAGACTAAAAATGGGTTTGAGTTCACTTGTAAAGGTTAAACTGAGATCAGGAAAATGAGTGAGGATGAAGCAGAAGGATAGGTTTCAACAAGAAGTGGGGGACAACCACAAAACCGGCCACGATCACGTGTAGAGACAATAGTCGGCCTTGAGTACAAGGCTGCGATAATCGCTTGGTTGTACAGAAGTAAGACCACACAGAATGCTGTCAGTATACGTCTGACATCCCTGAGCCCGATATTTTGGCGTAACGTAATTCCCAACTGAGTGACATACCCTGACCGAACGGCGCATCTTGTATCCCGTATCTTACGCTACTTTTTCATATATATATATATAGCGTATTTTGGTATGATCATGATACATTAAAATGAAGAAAAATATCTATATGCTTGTAGCATTAAGTTCATAAGTAACTAATATGATTGTATGGCTTGCGATTAGGAATCAGCGTTTCCTGGACTTAGGATACAACGTAATTCCCGGGTGGTTCGGTCAGCACGGAGATTTCCTTGCGTCTCAGTTGATAATTTTCACCTGGCTGCTCAATATGCTTCAGCCATTCATTGACATACGCTTCACGGTGACATCTCAACACAACCCTTGGTCTCTTTGACTTTAAAATTTGGCCAAGAGCATCATGACATTGTTGATTATCTTCCTCTGATACTTTCTTCTCGGGTTGATACGAGAATGCGTTCAGTACAGTAACAGTATAGATGCTTCGAGCACCTTTACTAGCGAAACGAATGAGTTCGTCAACGGCTAACAGTGTCTTGCTGCTTTTGACGAAGTTCTCAAAACTGACGTCGAATTTGTGGTATCTTCTGTCACGTGGACGTTCCAAGAGGACTACTATATCCGAAAGTCCAGCTGCCAAGTTCTGCGCGTCACTGACTAGGTGTATGTTATCGCACACCTTCGTTCGCCGTTTGGAACCCCTAAGATTAGACCGTCTATCATGTCGATGTTGCCTTCTGTTTCCCAGCGCCTCGCCGCCTGCCTTGTCCGCAAATCTTGCGGAGATGTGTCCTGAAAGGCGCAGGATAAAATCACTGGCCTACCAATGACGCTGTTACAAGGGACAAGGTCTACTAGACGGACAGGAAAAGGCCAAACAGCGGTGGACGGCATTTGACCTGAGCTTCTTCAGTCCCAAGATAATTCCAAAATACTGGCCTTATTGGCTCTTTTCCCCCACTGTAACCGCTTCCTGGATTCATGATTCATGGTCTGAACTGACCGCAGCCATACCAGAAGATCAACCATAAATGCTTTACAGGCCCTAATATCTGATCTAAAGATTGCACAATGTATTGCAGACTACTTAACATATCTTAAAATCTGGTATTCTCGGTTGTTAGGTATCATGTTGATATAATGGGATATGATATCGGGCTGCATACCCACGCGAAGCATTTCTTTAAACAAAGATGGCTATATAAGATATAAATATGGTTAATCACTGTTTAGTTATGGATTATCCTACAGGCTATTTAATATAAATAGCTCCTAGCTGGAAGAATAGAACTATCAGTTACATTTATCTACACCACAATAGTTATATGAATTAGCTAAGTAATATATAGTTGTGAATCATATGCTAACTTGGGACACATGGTCCCAAGACTTCAAGATATATGCTGTCTCTGAATCAGATATTGAACTGTCTACTAACATTCAACCTGGCATATCTAGCATCTAAATATAAAATGATACTTTTAACCAGCAAAATAAAAGACATGAACCATCCTTTCCTAATTCCAGGGTTGGCTTGTCTTAATCTATATCTTGTAGTTATGCTAAGAATATAGCCTTATTGGCTGCGCGGTTTGACCGGCTATGGTACCAATGTTGTCATGACACACGTTCGCGGTCTTATTATTACTGACATTACCATGATCTCATAGCGTATCCTGTTATAGGGGTCTGTTCTTGCTGTCAGACAGGCTGCGCAGATATGAAGATGTTGAAAGAATGGAGCATTATAGACCAGTCAATTCCGGAACTACCTGGCTGGGACTGTGTATTGGACTTGGGGTGATTGTTATTGTATAAGAAACCAATGTCAGTTATATTAGTATTTAAATTTCTGTAGAATAAAGATAGTTAAAAAGATTTATTAAATTGATTAATATGTATAATTAATCATTAAATAAGCGGCTGTCTACATATCAGTTATTTGGAAGGACCACAGTCTTTAATTATTCTGGAGAGACCTATTTAAGGTTGCTTATACACGGTCTAGTGGCGTCAGCTATTATGTCAGTATCTAATTATAGATAATATAGCTTAATATCAATATTTAGTAGTCTGAGCTCATTGCTTATCTAGTTAAATGATTGTCTTGACCTGGTTGCGGATAGACTGTCAGATATATATTATAGATAAGTGACCCGTTAGTATGGCGTGGCTGGAAACATCAGCCATTCTTGGACTTGGAAGAGTGTTTATACTGCTGATAAATATACTTGACATGTATTTAGGCTCTTCCTTATTGTCTACGCCATATCTAGAGAGCCTTTAATAAATCGAAGTCTTGTACCGGGTTTATGAGAAGGCTCATTCTTACGGTTTTGACAGTATTAAAGGGAGAATTGGAGGGTATATCACAGTCAACATATGAACGGCTGTTTGTTTGGCTGCCGTGATACCCTGGATATTTAGTATTTAAGGTTAAGCAATGCTGCATGTTTACTCAATGGCGAGTATCTAGATATTTTTAGCTCAGTTCACTGTTTTATGGAACATAATGAGAGTTACTGTGAAAGTATGATATCTAGGTCCTTTATTTGTTAGATAATGATAAGCTTCTATACTACAGTGTGGTACTGTTAACTCACAAAAATAAGTATTTAAGTAAGCGAGAATCCTTATATAATCTTGAAATCCTCTACAATAAGAAGCATAATTTGGAAACAAGTAAGACCAGACAGTTTTCTATATAGTCTCAGCACGAGCGCGGTCTCTTGCATGTTGTAAAGTTATTTAGCTTTATAAAGCATAACTATAAGTATTGAAGACTGTGGGCGGATTAGCACATGTAATACATAAGAGCTTATGACTGTAGTTAATGTCTTTATCTCTTGTAATATGCCCTCCAGACTCGTGAAATACTGTAGTCTATGGATTTGTGTTGGTGAACCCTCCGGTCCTAGTATCTTTCTCCAGGATGTAATATAGAAAAGTGGCAGCTGGCCGGCAATCCACAGGCCTGCATGTGGGAGTTAAGTGTATATATATTAGCCCAGCTTAAATCAGGATATCGAAGCCAGTCTGGATAATCCTAAGTAATTAGTGATACTTCATCATTACCTGTAGATGATAGTAAACAATCGTATATAATATTACGAGGAAGGTTAAGATTATGAAACATACTGCCTGTTCTTGATTAAACAGATATTTAATATAGGGCAGTTGTTATATTGGATATTTCCAGAAACAGTAGGTAATTTTTACTATTGCTGTTATATGGCTTGCCCCAGCTGGCCACTATTAAAGATAAAAATAGCTCCATGGATAACAACATGGATGATAACCATCCGGCCAATTTATTGACACATCCAGACTACCGCTGACTAATTAATCCTTAGAAGATAGACAGGGCCCCTGAAGATCAAACTATCTATAACAGAATAAGATCAATAACCGCGAGGTTGGAGCACTTCAGTACACAGTGACCCAGGATCAAGCTCACAAGACCAGTGGCAGAATATTCACTGAGCAGAAGCATGACCATGGAACCCTGTTAAATGTGAGTATATCAAAGTGACAGAATGGTTTCAGGGATAAGTAGTCAAGGTGTTGCTGTATCTACATCATATGCTTTTGAGTCACTTACCAGGAGTATGTTACAGACCCCTGCTAGCTGAACGACTAGCAAGGCGGGTACGTCAGGCAGAAGGCTACGCCCGGATGGACGGCCACTCTTATCGGGTAAAGTCCCGAGCTGAGTCATCACGTGCCATATATCACCTGACCATGGTATACAGACAAGCATATAGTATACAACATACCATCATGGTCTATAACTACCAAATAGGTATACGGTAGACCCGATGGTATATGGAATGGTATACAGAGAATAGAATATATAAGAACACTTCTTCATTATCAAACCCTAGGATCGCTTCTCCCTGTTCCTGTTAGCTTAGCTTCTATTCCAAGGCGTACCTTTGAACTGAATCAAGGTAAGTCAGGTTGATGACTATCTAAAGAGAACTGGTCCTGAACAGAAGAAGAGAAGTAAGGCCAGATAGTGCCGCGCAGCTATCCGTAAGTAAGTGCGGATGAGTGTTGTTGCTAAGCTTTACCAAAATGTATGGTTACTTAAAGATAGTGTTATTGAGCACGAAGAACAGAACTAGCTAAGTATATGAAGAAGTGTCCTTATATATCCTATCCCTTGTATACCATTCTATATATCATCGGGTCTACCGTATACCCGTTTGGTAGTTATAGACCATGATGGTATGTTATATACTACATGCTTGTCCATATATCACGGTCATGTGACTTGTGACGCGTGATAACTCAGATTAGGACTTTATCTGATAAGAGTAGTCGTCTGTTCGGGCGTTGCCTTCTGCCTGATATACCCGCCTTACTAGTTGTTCAGCTAGCAGGGGTCTGTAACACCATCTTCCTTCCTTTAAGATTCTTATCTTCAAGAACATAAAGATGTGTGTCCCCGTGAGCGTTGATCTAGGTCCTTCAGTTTCTTTTTCTCTCAGAATGGGTCATCATGCCTCTGTGTAATTATTATAAAAAGCGCTGTTACTAAGCTGACTGAATCATCTGCAGTGGTATCTAGGTTGACTTTTCTTGCACCTGGTGTGATTCCCATAGTCTTTCTTGCTTTATGGATTTCAAGAACCGAAATTGTGCGGCCTGTACTCGCTGTGGCTGAAAGTATGAAAAGCAATTTTACAGTGATTCTGAGTAGGATAAACTTTAACATGATAAAGAAAAGATAGTTTAAGAGATTGAAGAGACTGAAGAGTAGATTGAGCTGTTATTTATAAAAATAAAATATTTGCGAAAATATTGCAAATTTCTTAAGGATTATGGTGATTAGATGTTAGATCATGACTTGAATATGTTAGATTTGTTGAATGATGAGGATTCTCCAAGTGCTGAGGATCTCCGGGAGCTGGGGTGTCTGGTTGATGAGCATGACACTGCTCAGCTTGTTACTGTGTTAGACAATTCTAGTCTGATTTAGTTAGTTAGTTTCTCTTCATTCTGGGTGAACTTTGACCTGTCTGTTGGTGGTACTGCTCCACAAGCTGGTGATAGCCTGTTAAATTCTTGATAGGTTCCCATATGTTTTTCGAGGTATCATATTCTTCTTATTTTACTAGGTATTATGATCTGCTGCTAATCTTTCTATAATCTAGAATCTTTTTAACTTTATATTCTTATTCTGTGTTGTTGTTAATCTCTATATTTTCTGTAATTCTAGCGTTCTTTAATACGGGTTTTAATAATGAGATATAAAATACTGGATGAATTCTGTTTATTGATTTTAGTAATCTCAATCTGTAATTAACCAGTCTCTTCTTATCTTTAATAATAAATGGTCCTAGCTTGTGATGGTCAAGCTTCTAACTTGGTCATTTTATCTTGATGTTTCTGCAAAGTAAGAATACTTTCTCTTCTCTTTTTAAGTCAGGTTTCTTTCCATGTTTATGATTATAATATATCTTGCTGTACAAGTTTATGAACTTAATATTTCAGAATAACTGTAGATACATGTTTTCTGTAAATATAATAATATTCTTAGCTATATCAGTAACTTGCTACTTCTCTAGTAATATTTTCAAAAACCTCGGGTGATATCTGTAATTAGTATAGAATAATAAGACTCTAATGATTGAGTGACTGATATTATTATATAAAAACTATACTATTAATAATAGATTTGCCTAATTATTTTACTAGTAATTTATATAATGCTTCAGATATTATTTAATTATCTGATTAATCCTTTCTATTTGTTCATTTATCTGCAGGTGGTAAGCTGTTATTATTTATTTTTTAATTTTTATAAGATCTGCGAGTGATCTCCAGAACTTTAAGATAAATAATTTATCTTGATCTGATATAATATACTTTGATATCTTATAGTATATAACAATGTTTTCTAGAAATAGTTCTACTATCTATATTACTGTTATTATTATCTTACTAGATACAAGATAGATATATCTAGTAAGATGATTAATGATGACTGTAATAATGTTAAATCTTTCCAATTCTGATAGTAGATTAATAAAATTAATTATTATCTATTTTTATAACTGTTATAGTGCCTTCTGTACTTGTATTTATCTGTAAGGTTAGTATCTTATAGACTTATTTTTAATATAAGTCTTATATTGTTTAATATAATCACATACTTTCTGTCTGAGGTTTGGAATGTAGTAATTCCTCATGATTAATTCAGTAGTCTTCTCAACTTTTAAGTAATCTTTAAGTAGTTTATTATAGTGTCTAGCCATAATTTCTGTCTTTATTTTAGTCAGTATAAAGATTAATCTGTGAAAGTGTACTAGCCTATCTTTATTAATAATGATTTTGTCAGGTGAGTCCTTGCTCATCTTCTAGAATATTTTATTATTTTTCATACTATCAGCTAATTATCTAGTTAGGTTATTATCTATTTTTAATATTGTTGCTAGATTAGTCTTATTATAACTGATCAATCTATCTGTGTTTTGCTTCAGGATGGCTGGTTTAATAGCTTTTTTATCTAATTTATAGTCTAGTCTGCGGCTCAGTATATTTATGTGTTTATTCTCTACTTTTTTACAATATATAATTCTGAAGTCATATTATGACAGAATCTTAGCCCATCATGCCTGCCTTCTGGTCAATTCTTTGATTGTTGTGAAGTAGGTTAAGTTCTTATGGTCTATCTTTATAATGACAGTGTGCTTTACTTCTTTAAGGTAGATTCTCCATTGCTTAAATATTATTATTATAGCTAGTAATTCCTTGTTATAAATGTTGTAGTTGAGTTCTACTGGAACCAACTTTCTTGAATAGAATATAATCAGTCTTGGCTTTCTGTCTTCTCCGGGTTACATCATACGCATACTAACAGTGTAGTCTGATATATTGATTTTGATAATGGTTTTCTTTTCTGGATTGTGCTATACAAGTACTAGTAATATGATAAGTTATTGCTTAATATCTTTAAATATGTTCTGCTGTGGTTCTCTCCACTGATACTTCTTTGACTTCTTTATAAGCTTGAAGAGTGGTGTTATATAGATAGTGTATTTATCCACAAATCATTGATAATAGTTAACTAATCTGATAAACTATTATAGTTCTTTTAGATTCCTCAGTTGAGGCTAATCCTGTATAACTTATACTTTAGCTTGCTCAGTATGGATTTTCTCTGTGGATATCCAGTATTATAAAAGCTCTGTTTTCTATATATAGAATTTATACTTTTTCAGCTTATATTATAATTAATATAGATATAGTTTATACAGAACTAGTCTTATATGTCTAATATATTCTTTCTTAGTTTTTAAGAAGATTAATATATTGTCTAGATAAGTGATTATAAACTTATCAAGATATTTTCTAAGAATCTTATTAATATATTACTAAAATAACGCTGGTGCATTGGTAAGCCTAAATAATATAATCAAGTATTTAAAGTATCTGTATTTTATTCTGAATATAGTTTTCTATTTTTTATCTTCCGCGATGCATATATAATAATATATATTTATAATATTAAGTTTAATAAACTACTTTATTCCTCATATCTTGTCTTAGATTTCTGAAATCAAAGATAACGGGTATTAATTCTTAATTATGATAATATTCAGTGGCTGATAATCCATGTATAGCTGTAAACTGTTATCCTTTTTCAGTATAAATAGGACTTCATATTCTGCTGGTGACTTTAAAGGCCTGATATTATCTTTAACTAGCTGATTATTAATATATTCTTATAATATCTGTAATTCCTTCTCAGATATTGGGTAAATCTTTCTATATATTAGTAACTTTTTTTTTTCTATAAAAATAATATGATCATACTTTCTGTGTTAAGATAATTCAGGTTACTCTAGCTGCTTGAACAAGTCCTTGAATCTTTTATACTATGGTGGGATCTGTATATCATTCTTGACCACAGCTAGAAGTTCTTATAAATCTTCTATTTCTTAGATAGTTATCTTAATCTCTGTATCAGTACTGTTAATACTATACTCTCAGTACTTGTTTATTATTATTAATATCTATCCTGATAATTCCATGAATTAATCTTTCTATAATAGCTTAATTGCTGCTATTACTTGTATAACTATACTTGAGATGTTATTTTTCTCTAAGTTACCTCCGATGCCTGGCGCGTTAGGCTTTCATAGTGTTCTTAACCTTTTTTTAATAGATTACTTAGTTTTTACTTCAGCTTCTTACTGTGTAGCAGGCTGTACAGATCCAGACTCTATATCTGATCCTTGCTGGAGTTGTCTTGGGCAATCATAATTCATAAATTAGAGACTCTCAGTCTTTTAATCAATCTATAGATTATGATTCCTGAGCTATAAAATCTCTAATATAATATTATACTGTTTTAAAGATATCATATTAAAGTCTATATACTTATAATAATCCTTTACAGTTATAAATATAGTCCCTAACTTGATTATTAATATAAGAGTTCCCAAATTCTCTCTGTTCAGTCCTGTGATTAGTTCAGATTCTGCTTTCTATTATCTAAGTATCTTAAGTTATTATATGAATTACAGGTTCATAAAGTTCTCAGTTATTCCAGAGTCTATCAGTACTTGGACTAATTAATCTAATATGACTGCTTAGATCTTCAGATATAGTTTTAACTTAGTAACTGCTAATTACTGTTTTAGCTAGTTAGGTTCTAACTATTGTGGATGTCTTCTTAGAAACCTCGAGCCTTCTATCTTTATTATA